ATGGCTGAAAACTTCAGATTTGGAAAAAGACATAACCTACAGATTCAGAAAGCTCAGCAAACCCTAAGTAGGATAAACCCAGAGAAGTCCCTGCCCAAACATATCATAATCAAACTGCTAAAACGTAAAGACAAGAAAAATCTTAAGGCCAGGTGCAGTGGCTCACACCTGTAATTCTTGTACTCTGTGAGGCCGAGGTGGGAGGATTGCTTGAGATCAGGAGTTTGAGGCCAGCATGAGCAAGAGTGAGACCCCACCTCTACTAAAAATATAAAAAATTAGCTGGGTGTGGTGGCACATGTCTGTAGTCCCAGCTGATTGGGCAGCTGAGGCAGGAGGATTGCTTTAGGCAACAGAGCCAGACTCTATCTCAACAACAACAACAAAAAAAAGAAAAACAAAAAAAATCTTGAAAGCAGCTAGAGAAAAACAACGTATTATTCATAGAGGAACAAGGATTTTAATGATTGGGAATTTCTCATTAGAAACCAAGAAAACCAGAAAAAAAGTAGTGCAGCTAAAGTATGGAGGAAAAAGAACTGTCAACCCAGAATTCTATATCCAGTGAGTATTTCACCTTTGTTTCTGAAGGATATTAAGATATTCCTAGTGAAAAGAAACTAAGAGCATTCACAGTTAACAGGTCTTCTCAAAAGGAATAACAAAAGGAAGTTCTTCAGACAGAAGAAGGGAAATGATACCAGATGGAAACTTGGAACATCAGGAATAACAGGAAGAGCAATAGAAATAGTAAATATGTGGGTAAATATTATAGACTGTTCTCTTACATTCTCTAATATGTTTTATAGTTGAAAGCAAAAATTATGAGATTGTCTGATGGGGTTTTCAATGTATGTAGAGGTACTATATGACAACCATAATATAAAGAGGGGAGAATAGAGGCGCCTATGTGTGCTGGTAAGGTTTCTGCATTCCACTTGAAATGGTAAAATACTGTTTCTAAGTAGACTGTGAAAAGTTGAGCAGATAGTAATCTCTTGAGCAACCGCTAAAAAAACTATACAAAGAGATAGTCAAGTTAAAATTATAAAAATAGGAAACAGCAACAAAAAAGACGGAACAATTGGAAAATCAATAATAAAATGGTAGTTCTAAATCTAAACATAACAATAATCACATTAAAGGCAAATGGGCCGGGCGCGGTGGCTCACGCCTGTAATCCTAGCACTCTGGGAGGCCGAGGCGGGCGGATTGCTCGAGGTCAGGAGTTCGAAACCAGCCTGAGCAAGAGCGAGACCCCGTCTCTACTATAAATAGAAAGAAATTAATTGGCCAACTAATATATATACAAAAAATTAGCTGGGCATGGTGGCACATGCCTGTAATCCCAGCTACTCGGGAGGCTGAGGCAGGAGGATTGCTTGAGCCCAGGAGATTGAGGTTGCTGTGAGCTAGGCTGATGCCACGGCACTCACTCTAGCTTGGGCAACAAAGCGAGACTATGTCTCAAAAAAAAAAGGCAAATGGTCTCAACACACCAATTAAAAGAGCATGGGTTTTGAAGTTGGGCAGGCATAGTATAAATCCTACCTTTGCCATTGGTCTTGTGCAAGAAACCTTCTCTGGGCCTCAGTTTCCTCATCTGTAAAATGGGGATAATAATCATACCTACTGAGAGAGCTGCTGCAAAGATAAGATAATGTGTGTAAGAGACTCAGCACATTCCATTCATCTGTCAAAAATGTAGGGGAGAAACATTTGCTTATATATGCAGAATATCTTTGGAAAGACATATAAGAAACTGGTGTCATTGCTTGTCTGTGGGAAGACTTGGTGGGCTGGGAGACAGGGATATAAGGGAGATTTTTTACTATTACGGCTCCACAATCTCTTGACTACAATTCTGAAGTCAAAAGATCTCTCAAATGTTTGCTTCATAAACTTAGTTGCAAAACCTAACCTGAAATGGCACAAAGCTCTTTATATATTTCATTTATCTCATGTAAGTGTTAATATCTATTCATTTTGCAGAAATATTAGGATATCAGTTATAGGGTGCTGCTTGGAATATTATACAAAATATGTTGTTGTACCTATCTAACCTTTCTAAAATATGAAAAAATACCAAATTCCAAAACACATCTAGCAACTGGTGACTGCATTTCTTCAGAAAGTTAAATTTTAAAAATTAATCTTTTAAAAACTAAATTAAAAAAAACCTAAATTTGGCACAGCATCTGACACAAAGCAAGCTCTCAGTAAATAGCAGTGGCTGCTGTTATTCCCTTCTTCCAGGCCTTTCCTGTCAACAAATCTGTTCATGTCCAAAACTACATTTCACCATCATGGCAGACCCTGTGAGTGTTACTACTTAAATTTTGTATCTTAAAAGACTGAGGTACAGTAGTTTTGTGGCAGGCCCTGCCAACCAGCTAGATAATCCTAAACTCAAAGTCCAGAGTACATCTTCTGACTCCCAGTCCTGAGAGTTACTTCACCAGGCCACTTCAGCCATAAGAAAGATGTCAGCTGAATTTGTGTGCCAAAGGTGGGTGTGTTGCTTTTATGTAAGAGAACAGGGGAGCACAGAAGGAGGAAATATATGTGTTATAGCTGGAACGTACTGCCCCAGTGGGCCCAGCCATGCAGTTTTTTCTGCAGGGTTAGCATGGCTCACTCTTTCCTTCAGTTGGCTACCAAATGAAGTAGTAGGTGCTTGAGTACACAGGCCATGTACAAAAATGACTTTTTAAAAAATCCCTAGAGTCTTATTTAGCACATCTAACACTGAGACTCAGCCAAGGGGGTTATGGAAAGAAAGACAGATCCTTGTGCTATTTGAAATGTATTCTAAGGGTGTACACAATGAGTCACTGCGTGTGTTGCAGTGAGCCTGTGCTGAGTGTGAGCCTACTGAATATGCTGTGACAGTGTTGAGTACACAGATGATTGGGGTGGGCCCTACAGCTGCTCTGTAGCCGCCTTTGTTCTCTGCTGCTTCCCTCCTCTCCACACTCTGGTCCAGAGAGAAAAATAGAGATGGCTGCTTATTTCAGGAACAATCAAGGCTCTTTATTCCCTGACCTTTTAATAGCCTCTAGAAGCCCCCTCTGTTTTCTGCTTTGTAGGGAGGGGGCTCACCTCATGGAACCAGGTAAGAGGCTTGCTGCCCTCCTGGCACCACCTGGTCTACCTCCAGTGAGACAGGAGGCTGGAGAACACCAGAAATTTTTACTACTGGCTGCAGGAACCAGGACTTGGGAACAGTAACCTAGGTCAGGAAAAATTCCTTCCCTTGGGAACCTGGCCTAGTCCACTTACCTTGCAATATTCTTTCCAGCCCACTAGGTGGAACTGACTGGATTCTTTGGATTTTTTCCCAGTTCTCAAATGGCTCTTACCTATAAGCTTGGATTAGCGGCTGTTTATAAGGCTTTCCTGAGGTCTGGCGAGCTCCGCCCATACCCCAGAACTGCAGGTATCAGGTTTGTATTGCTCAGCAGGGCTCCAACACTGATTCCAAAGCACGGGGTGTTTTTTTTGGTTTTTTTTTATTATGAGACAGAGTCTTGCTGTCACCCAGGCTAGAGTGCAGTGGTGTCATCATAGTTCACTGCAACCTCAAACTCTTGGGCTGAATCAATTCTCCTGCCTCAGCCTCCCAAGTAGCTGGGACTACAGCCGCACACCACCGTGTCTGGCTAATTTTTCTATGTTTTGTAGAGACAGGGTCTCGCTCTTGCTCAGAGCTCTTGTATAGGCTTGTGATCTTGAACTCCTGACCTCAAGCAGTCCTCCCACTTCAGTCTCCCAGAGTGCTAGGATTATAAGTTTGAGCCACTGTGGCCGCAAAGCACACTTTTTAAAATACTAAATTTTTTATTATTGTATCTATATCCTTTATAGAAAAAATGAAGTATAAAGTGGAAACTCACCACCTAGGAGTAACTGTCACTGTTTACACTGTCAGTATGCTTCTTTCTATTGTTGTTTATACACAAACACACATTTTTCTTAGTTGATTTCCCTAGGCTATTGATAATCTCCTTTTCCCCCACACTTAACAACTAGAGCATGAACATTTTTCCACATCATTTTTAAAACATTCTAAGAACATTATTTCTGTTGTTTTCATGGCTGCATTTAGGGATATACCATGATGTACCTAACTGATCCCCATTTAGGCTGATTCAAGTTTCGTTGATTAAAGTTTTACTGGATATATTTTAATTTGAATTCTGTGTTCTTTCTTTAAGATAGATACCTAAACATAAACTTAGATCATAGAATATAAAGGTATATGACTTTCGAGTGATAGATTATATTTTGTGTGTATATATATTAGAGAATATAGAATTGTTCTGTGGAATCCATGCACTCATTTATGCTCCTTCTAGCTCATGCATTCTCAGTAAAGGAAAAAATTGGTTCTTGGTAGGACAAAGGGGTTTGTCCTAGAGATTACAATGGTTTGTGCCCCTCCAGCAGGCTACAGTGTGTACACAAATATATAGTATATGTGTGATACTAAAGTTTCATACAGAGACCATAATGACAAAAGATTGAGAAGCACTATTGTAGTTATATATGACTCCACACATCTGTCTCACTCCACCTTGAAATCTTTTAAATCTTAGCCTTGGAATTTTGGTTTTTGGTTTTAGAATAAAACTGTTCTGATACAAAACTTCTTGGTTATTTATATGAAGTTGAGGAATTTAACAAATGTGTGAATAAAATAAAATTCATCTGGAGTTTACCACTGTTAATATTTTTATCTTTATACAGAATTGAGCTCATCCATGTTTTAGCTTTGCGTTCCATCCTTTTCACATAATTGCCATTGAAATATTAAAAGTGTTAATCTGGGCCACAGACCACTTGAAATATCCCTTGTGCTATGATCTCATGTAGGGGTTTTCCCTGTCCTCCATGCCTAGTGGTGCATTTGTGACCCCACAGGCATCAGGTTCTGGCTTCTGGGAGCCCAGGCACTGGCTGCTCTGGGACTTGCGATAATTGTCCCTTGTTTGTTTCAGGTGTGATCCCCTGGGCCAGTTTGCTGTCGGTGGAGAAGACCTAGACCCATTTGGGTGAGTACTGTTGGGGAGGTGGTAGCAACACAGCTTGCTTTCGTGGCTTTTCAGCCCTAGCTCATCTTCTAATTTTAGAGTTTTTCATCAGTCTCTTCCTTTGGGGTGAAGGAGGCAATTGTTGCTGAGCTCTGCCACACGGAGAGCAGTGCAGGAGAGCTCTGAGTGCTGCCGGAAGCTGAGCAAGCCCAGCAGGCGGCTCCTCAGTTGTTTCCCAGCCTCCCCCCCCCCCACCCCTCCCACAAACACACACCTAGTGGAGGACAGTGGCCCTGCTTTGGATGGAAGGATACTAGAGGATTTATTGGGTGCATATGGTGGGCCACAGACCTTAGGGAAGCTCAGGGCCATTCAGACCTCACTTAATAAAGACAGGACTCTGGTTCTTGCCATACACCTAACAGAGTTCTGGCAGCTTCAGCTATGTGCCATCTTCCCTGAACGATTCACACTGGATTGTAACTTCTGCTGCAGAGTGACCCCAACTTTAGCATTTCATTCCTAGACAGAGGGGAAATCACTTAAATCTACAATGCAGCTTGAGCAGTGACCTCAAAATTTGGGGAACATCAGCCCATTCATCCTAGTTTGAGCACATGAGGTCAGGTCCATGGAACTCAGTGAGCAACAGATGCTATCAGGAGCAGGACTTGGGCCACCCACAGTCAAAAATTGCCCTGAGGCAAGGAGCAAAAAAACCTAGCATCATGAATTGTCTCAATGCTATTATTAGTCCTTAGATCTAGAGAGTGCCCTCCAGAGCCTTGCGAGGGTTCTGCATTGACCCTGGCCAGTCCTGGCTCCTGTTCTTGATCAAATTGGCCCCCTTGGGTGTGGGACATGGCAGGGACCTCAATTTTGTGGGCTCAGGGAACCCTATAGAACCAAGCCCTGCAGAACCAGAAATACTTAGCAATAAGGTGTGCTTTTTGTATAGGCTTGTGTTCTGGCTCTTGCCCACTTCTTGGTGGCTCTCAGGCAGCCATCCACATGTCTGCGTAGACTATCTAGAATAGACATCCAGTCATTCTTAGTCTATGCTCACCTCTCTCGCCTCTTCTCCAAGGGCAGTCCCTGCCACACCTGCTTACCTATCTCTCTTCTTGCCTCAGGTGTCGGAGAGGTGGCATGGTCGTGGATCCCCTGAGGTCTGGCTTCCCAAGAGCACTTATTGACCCATCTTCAGGCCTCCCGAACCGACTTCCTCCAGGCGCTGTGCCCCCAGGAGCTCGCTTTGACCCCTTTGGACCCATTGGGACCAGCCCATCTGGGTAGGTAGTCACTCAGGTATGCTGATAAGTAGGACCTACTTCAGCAATGCAGGTTTCTGGCCTTAGGCACAGAGTTGCCACTCCCTCTGCTTATTGCTGCCAAGAGAGTAGTCTCCTCCAGGCCCTGCCTGATTCCTCCCTGGAGCCTTCCAGGAGCTCCCTATTCCTTAGTGCCTCCCTTCCCCCAGCTTTCCTCCAGGGAGGACTCAGGAGGAGGAGGAGGAACTAACAGTTCTTGAAAGTTAAGTGTGTGTCAGAAACTTATTGGATCCTTATATCAACTGTCTCGGGTAGATAGTACTGTCCACATTTTACAGACTCAGAAATTGAGGCCCTGAAAGATTAGGTGACTTATTCCAGATGGGGGAGTCAAACCCACGCCGTCTGGCTCTAGAGAACATGCTCTTAAATTCCATGCACCACCGTACCATTCTGGGTCGTATCTGCCTGTGTGCCCCTGGCCCCTCCACCACTCCAACTCATCAGCCCCTCTTTCCATTCCAGACCTAACCCAGACCATCTCCCCCCGCCGGGCTACGATGACATGTTCCTGTGAAGGCCTCAAGAATGTAACATCCCAGCCTTCCCTCCACTCTCCTGGAGCTGCCACCGCCGGCCCTATCAGCAACCGTGTTCTTGCGGGCTGGGGGCAAGGGACTCTGCCCATGTGTTTGCAGGCTGGCTGGGATTGCTTCCCCACCCCTTACCAGACCCAAGGCACCTGCTGCAGCTTTCCACCTGGCTGCATATAGGTCCCAAAGAGAAATCAGTGTGTCTCTTTCACCACCAGCTCCTCCCCACCTCCCAAGGGGTACTCCGGCAACATATATCCTTGACCTAATGCAGTCCCAGCGGCAGCCCTATGAGAACAGAATGCATTTTGGATGTTATTATTAAGAACGAAATGTCAATACAAAATTCATGTTGCCGTTCTCCCACTTTTCTTTTTAGTTTATTGCACATCCCCTTCCAGTCTTTTTAGGGCTAAATGATGCTTTTCCTGCCCAGGGCCCATTCTTGCTTCTCAGGCACCTTTCTTTCCTAAATTGCTGTTGCTCCTGACATCATGAAGATGGGTCCCAGTGTGGCTGCATGGATGGAAATGAATGGCTAGAAATTTCACAAGGGCAGGCACATTGTCGAAAGATGGCAGCATTCTGGTGAGGGCAGAACCCTCCAGTTGTTCCTGTCTGGGTCCATCTGTGCCTGGGCAGCAGCAGTCTGTAAGCAGAGGAATAAACCAAATAGACCTGAATGCCAATCTCATTTTGCCACTAACTGAGTGACCCTAAGCAAATCCCTTCTCCTCTTAGGGCCATGTGCCCACCTGTGAAAATCAGAGGTGCCTTTCCTGCTCCAAACATTCTCATGTCTTCCTCCGTACAACAACCCCTAGAAACCGAGGCAAAAGGAAAAGGATGAAGGTTCCAGGTGTTATGTGATACTCACCTGTAGAGTCTGTGACTGATTCTTGGCCCTCTTGGGTCCCAGGGAGGAGTAAGGAGCCCCAGCCTCTGGAAGCCTGTGCCCTGTGTCCAAGCCCACCTGACCTTTGGTGTTCTCCGGATCCTTTTCAGCCCGAGGCCTGACAGACGTGGGCAGTGATGAGCCCTTGTGCTGGAGTGGAAAGAGCACCACAGAGCAGCAGGCTGAGAGGCACAGGATCGAGGCGCTAGTCACTTCTGCTCCACAACTAGTCTTTCAACCACGTGCGAGTCCTTTCATTTCCCCGCTCCTTGGATGCCTTCCCCTAAATTAGAGTGTATTATTTACCGGTAGGCAGCAGGCTACCATAGCTTTTCAGAGGTGTTTGCTAGGCTATTTTCTATAGCCTAAGATTGACTGACTGCTCAGCTAAGAATGGATAGGGGTACACTAAACTGACAGGCCCAGGGTCAGTCTCAGATGGATGGTGGGCCTACATGGAGAGGCTAGCACGAGCAGCTCTCTAGGTATTTCTGACGGTCCCATGCCAAGCACTGATTTAGTAAAAGACCCTGGAGACAAGGGAGCTGACTACCTTAAAGCCTTTAAAACATCACTGTTCTGGAGAAAAACCTAGAGATGAGGCAGAGGTGCAGTGCAGTCAGTAATCATTACCTTCTTCCTTGAAGGCTGGCAAATGGTGGCATGTTAGTTTTTGCTTTGGAATTGGACCACACCTTCAACCAAAAGGACTTGGAACAATTTGCACATAAAAACATCCTTTATTATAAAAGAAAGCATTTAAAGGAATATCAGACTAGAGACCATCAGACAGTGGGGAAAGGGTGTAACTTTTAGGACCCTGATTTGAGGAAAAGACAAAACTTAATAAATTTGCCACTGAGATTTTCTAGTAGCAAAGGTCGAAAAGATAGTCATGTACATAATTCTGTTTTCTGGAAACAGAAAATTGAGCGATTCATCTGCAGAATCAGCCATTTTTTGTGTAGGTCTCCTTGCATCAAGGATACTAGGAAACACAGATGATGTCTTAGATGTTATTTGGCGGAAAGTAAGTGGAGTTCTTAGGAACTTCCAAGTCAAGCTGTTGGTGTTTGTTTTGGTCTGGGCCATTTTTCTCCTTTGATACATGAGTAATGACCAAGCAGCAATATTTCAGGTCTATGTTTTGTAGAACCCAAAAGATTGGAGCCTTAACAATAAACATCAGCACTTAATAACCGGTTCCTCTTTTTTTTTTTTTTAATAATAATAGCTTTATTGAGATGTAATTGACATACCCATGAAGTTCATCCTTCTAAGGTATACAATTCAGTGGATTTTAGTATATTCACAGTGTTGTACATCCATCACCGTATATAATGCCTGAACATTTCACCACCTCAAAAAGAAACTTCATCCCATTAGCAGTGACTCCTCATTCCCCCCCCTCAGCCCCAGGCAACCACCACCACCTTCTATCTTTAAAGATGTGCCTATTCTGCACAGTTCTCATAAACGGAAGCATTCCATATGTGGTCTTTCATTTAGCATAATGTTTTCTAGATTCATTCATGTAGCAGTACTTCATTCCTTTTTATGGTTGAATAATACATTGTTTGGACATATTACATTTTGTTTATCCGTTTATCAGTTGACAGGCAGTTGAATTTGTTTTTGCTGTTATGAATAATTGTGCTATGAACATTCATGTACAAGTTTTTGTGTAAACAGATGTTTTCACTTCTCTTGGGTATATACGAAGGATTGGGATTGCTGGATCACGTGGTAACCCTATGTTCTACTTTTTGAGGACCTGCCAGGCTGTTTTCCACAGGAGCCACATCAGTTCCCATTCCCACCAGTAATGCGTGAGGGTTCCAGTTTCTGCTCATCTTCACCAACACTTGCTATTCTTCATGCTTATAACCATCCTAGTGGGTGTGAAGTGGCATCCCACTGTGGTTTTTTTTTCTCTTTATTTTTAAAAAGGAGAATTTTGACCTAGGCCAAGCAAGGCAGAGATCAGAGCCAGTCCCCACTTGGGGAACAGACCATGGCTTTGATAAGAGCCACCTTGGGGTGCATATGGCTGGTGAGCTATAGAGGAGTTGGGTTTGACTTTTGGGGATGGGCTGGGCTGGGTGTGATACAGGACAGGTTCTGTCTCTAGGGAAGTTCCCGTGACCTTTTCAGGTTTAGAGAGATTCACAATATCACTTTTCTTGGTTTGAAATGTCATTGTTCATCCAGTTACTTTACAAGAAGAATAAAAGTCTGGTTCTAAATCATTGTTTTTCATGCTGAAGTGCCATAGACCACTTGGGCTATTTCAGCCCCCACATCTGACCTTCTCTTCCTTGGCTTGTCTCCTCCCAGTTCTCAGAACTGGCTGTGATTCTTATTGCATTTATCTATGGAATCATGAGCTGCTATCACGAGTCTCTTAAGACCGAAACTCCAAGAATGTGTTGTGCTCACAATGGAGGCTACATTCCTGTGCTGGATGGCCAGTGCCTATTGACACATAGTTAGAGAACAGCTAGCAAGTCCCAACAACCTTACTTTGGAACCCAGCTTCCCTCATGGCCTCCCTTCTGCCATCATTAATGTCATTCTGTTACTGATCCATGCTTCTCTTCACAGGAGGAAAATTAGAATCTGTGGAGCAATTCATGTTTTCTGTCACCTAATCTTGTCTACTTTGTTACAGTTCCAATAAGACAGGTCCCACTACCAAGGAGAGGAAAGATTCCCTACATGCGTATCCCCAGTTTTCTCTGTCATAACACTTGCATGCTTCTAGGCCATGATCAACTTTTTGCACCAAAGCAGAGACTCAAACGCAGGCTTCCAAGTCTCCACCCCTTGGTTGCCTTTGGGATAATACAAGGCACACCCCAAGTCACTCTAGCTGTGCTTCACCCTGAATCTGCCCTGAGGAGTGGGTCATAGGCAAGGGTGGCAGGCTGGATGGTAGGCAGTGAGGGGTGGCAAGGCCCAGGTAACTGAGGACAGACCCTAGAATTCAAAAAGCCAGGGAAGAGGTTTGAATACCTGACTCAGTGGCAGTAGAAGGTGCAAAGTGGAGGGCCCAGTCCCTGCTTAGAGGAACACGAGGTTGACGGTACAGAGGACACTGGATGACCACGTGAATACTGTTTTAGATGAGCTACATAAGGTGAGTGTTGTGAGAGTCACAGTGTGACGGGGGTTCAGAGAGATGAGAGAGTGAGAGGGTCCTGCTGAAGGTTTAGTCCTCTAGTTCAGCTGCAGTACACAAACTAATGTAGTTTTTTTAACCAAAAAGGTTAGGGTCCAGAGAGCAGCAGGATGACATCATCATTACCATGATTTGGGGAATAGGAGCTCCAGAGCCACACAGAAACTGCCTACATCTGCACCAGAAAGTGGATGCCCTTCATACTACCATCTTGACCCCACTCACTCAGCTCAGTTCCAAGTTCAGGGTTCAGTTGAATGCATCTGATTTGTTGGAACCTACATTGCCTCTCAAACCATGTGGCAAGGGATGTGGGGAAAATTTCTTTATTCCCTCTTCCCACCACTACATTCAGAAGGGGGCATTGGGACAGAGCTCTGGCAAGCCAATCTGTCTGCCTGCACCTTGGACCATGACATAGATGGGTACCACAGCCTTGCATGCCCAAGATGCCTGCTCTGAGTACATGTCAGTGCATGCTGGGCCCCAGTCCAGATCTCGAGGGGAGGGCCTTCAAATCTGTTTCTACAAGTTCCTCTTGTGATTCATATAATCACTCAAATTTGAGAACTGAGAAAGGAGGGAAAGACCTTCTACATCCTGGCTGCTCAGACCAGCAACAGCAGCATCACCCAGGAACCTGTTAGAAACAGAATCCGAGCCCCACTCCAGACTTACTGCATGAGAATCTGCATTTTAACAAGTTCTCCATGTGACTCATGCACAGTAAAGTTTGAGAAGCCCAGGTGTATGAATTGTATGTCTTCTTCCTTCACCTGGATATCAGGTACAAAGAATTGAGTTTATCTTCTTGGTTGATGGCACATTATTATGAATGCATGCGAGAGCTTTTCATTTTAAGTTTTCCCTAATTTTACCCCAGTATCCCCTCCATTCCCTTGCCTCCCTGGGTCACTCAGATGTGTTTCATCTGTCTTTAGAAATGCAGTACACTTATAAGATGGCACATATTATATCTTCATATCATAACCATAATGAGATATTATCCCCATTTTCTAGCCCAGAAAAAGAGGGTTTTGAAAAGTCCAGTAATTTGCTCAAGGCCAAGCAGGTACCTCAGAATCAGGCAGACGTGAGTATGACTCTCAGCCCACTGTGTGCACTTTCTCACGACCATCATCCCGATCTGCAGGATCTAACCCCAAAATGTGTCTTATGAAGAGGTAGTTGAGACCTGGTGGGCGTGGCTGGCCACTATTATTACTGCAGCCATATGGGAGGATGTGGGTAGGGCTCAAGAACAAAGAGGAGAGGAACCTTGGGCTGCCGCCCTCACTCCCAATGCAGGAAACAAGCATTTATCTGGTGCTAGGCCTCTCATCTCATGTAGTACCCTAACAACCCAAGGTAAATTCTTAGTGGCATTAGTCAAGGTGCTGGACCCCTGGGTGTGGGTGGCGGAATTGTGATTGGAAGCCAGGTCAGCCTAGTTCTAAAGCCAGTGCTCTTTTCAGTAGAACTGCTGTACCCAGACCTCACACCTTCTCCAGGTGAGAAGCATGGATGCCTGGGCAAACTCATTTCAGAAGCTGGAAAACCAAATCAGGATTATGAAAAAGGAACAGTGCTGCCTAATTTCCAAGATGGTCTAAGACTCCTAAATCAGTCCTGCTTGCAGAGTGGGCCTCATGTTTCCAAGTACTTCCATCCACAGCCGCAGTCCCAGAACACCCCAGCTAGAAGGAGCGTCTGAAGCCGCCCAGCACAGCCTCCATTCCACAGGGGAAGAAACAGGTCCAGGAAGCCCCTCTGTGAGGGTGAGCCCTTGAGAGGCTTCTCTGTGCAGGGCTCTGTCACCTGACCCCAAGTACTGCTCACCTGGGCCCTCTGAGTTTAGTAGGATGGAAGCTACTCTTTTCTACCGATCAGGCGAAAGAACAGGTTGAGGGCCGTTGAGTGACTTTCCCAAAGCCACACAGACCACAGAAATCCTGGCTCCAATTTCAAGGTTTTCCAACTAAACATTTCCCAAGACAGTTATGGAGGTCCCTGAGTGACAAAAATATGAGGGTCCCATTCCTTTCCACCTCCTTCTCCCCTCAGCTAGGCTTAGTGTTAAGACAAAGGTGCCGTAGAGGTTCAGCACCCTGGTCAGCGCCCACCTTTCCTGGAGCGGCTGGAGGGAGGACTTTGGTCCAGATTAGGCCAAACAGTGTCTGCTGCTCCCCAGTCCAGGATGGCTCTCTCCTGGAAACAGGCAGGCATTCCGAGAGGAGGGGACCTGTCCTACCTCAACTATAGCCTGGCCCTCTCCCTCTCCTTCAGATTAGACCCACAGGAGCAGTTTCATCCCTTAGGCTACTTGGTTCCCACGACATTGATTCAAGTGAGGGACCTATACAGAGACGGATAGGCCAGGAGCCTGAGCCGTGGTGACACTGGGAAAGTCCTGTCCCATTTGGATTTCCTCATCTATAAAGTGGAGATAAGGATGGACCTTGCTCTCCCAAGATCCTGACCACCTGTGAGATTCCATGACTCTAAGTGGGCTATGGGCCTGATGGGGTTCAGTGCCACCCCCTTACCTGCCCTCCTCTTCTCCCCCAGAACCTCCCAATTCACATGTAAATCACAGGTTTCAAAGTGCCAGCCCACAGGCCGGGCATGGTGGCTCACGCCTGTAATTTTAACACTCTGGGAGGCCAAGGCGGGTGGATTGCTCGAGGTCAGGAGTTCAAAACCACCCTGAGCAAGAGCGAGACCCCGTCTCTACTATAAATAGAAAGAAATTAATTGGCCAACTAATATATATAGAAAAATTAGCCGGGCATGGTGGCGCATGCCTGTAGTCCCAGCTACTTGGGAGGCTGAGGCAGAAGGATTGCTTGAGCCCAGGAGTTTGAGGTTGCTGTGAGCTAGGCTAATGCCACGGCATTCACTCTAGCATGGGCAACAAAGCGAGACTCTGCCTCAAAAAAAAGAATACTTTACTTACATTTTTCATCTGTTCAATCGCCATCTCTCCAAAGCCTAGCACAGAGTGGGTGCTCAAATCTTAG